GGTTAGGATTTAAATTTTTAGGGTACATGGTTAGGGTTTAAAACTTTTAGGGTTTAACTTGTAAAAAAAATTAAGGTTTAATTATATTAGGGGTAAACCATATTTTTTTGATGTTTTTCTCGTCATTTCCGCACTGTCTTTTCGGCCCTTGGATGTGCTATATAAACTCCTCTTTGCCTGCTACTCTACCACACAAAACCATCATCATCTCTGAACTCTATTCTACCCTTTACAGCAATCATATTTAAAGCCTTTCATTTACACCCTGATTCTTTGTTCGATAGGTATGGCTGAAGAGTGCCACAGCAAGAGTCCTCATGAGTGCGTTGGTAAGGGCGAAGTTGAGACCAAGGATCCAGGGTTGTTTGATTTCTTAGGGAAGAAGGAAGAGAAGAAGCAGGAGGAGGTGGTCGTCTGTGAGTTTGACGAGAAGGTAAAGACTGAGGAGACTAAACCAGATGAGGAGGGTGAAAAGAAGCACAGTCTCTTGGAGAAGCTTGCCTGCAGCTCTGACAGCAGCTCCAGCTCTGTAAGTTAATTTCGTGGCAACCTTAAAAATTTAAGCATCTTTTGTTTTATTGAGTTTTTCAGGTTTTGCTAATGTTTAAAATTATATTTGACAGTCTAGCGATGAGGAAGAAGGCGAAGGAGAAGAGAAGAAAAAGAAAAAGAAAAAGAAGCGCCGATCAACAAAGAAAAAGAAAAAGACAAAGAAGGGACTGAGAGGGAAGATCAAGATAAAGGGAGTACAGAAAGAAGAGGGCAATCATGGTGAACAGACCACAGTTACTGTTGAGAAGATCAAGGAAAAGCTTCCTGGACACAAGAAAACTGAGGAGGTTCCTCCACCTCCACCCCTGGCGGAAGTGTGCTCCAGTTCCCGAGATCACGGCGGTGAGTGAGCCGAGAGGGGTATTTGGGAAGCAGAGAAGGAGAAAGGAAAGGAGTTTGCTTCTCTTGCGAATGCATTTATATGGTGAAGTGGTGATGAAGTTTGCGTGCATGTTTTGCTTTTCATTTGTGTACTTTTTGGGTCTTTTAGTGCTTTTTAGGATTTCCCTTCCTTTCTTTTTGGTTTGCATACTTTTTGTAAGTTCTGTTTTTCTGGTGCTTGTATTTTGTGATTGCAATCGAGTCAATGGATCAGTACCTTCCTCTTTGTTTTTTTTTTTTTTTCCTTATAACTTATGGGATGAGTGATTGATGATCATAAAGGTATCCTGATTCCTCGGTGAAAGTGTCTATGTCGCCACGGCGAGCAGCGAGGCGTGTGGTGGCGCGTGGAATGGATTTTGGAGGGAAGCTGAGCCTGGGAGTGGCGGAGAAGGGAGGAGTGACATAACATTTTAGTTTTATCCGTTCTTTTTCTTCTGCCGTTGTTTTCTTTATTCTGCCAAATTTTTTTTTTTTTTTTTTTGGAAAAAGGCAAGTTTTCCATTAGACGTTAGATGACATATACAAATTCCTCTCAGGTATACCCGGGGAATTACATCTTTCAGATCTTTAATCTCAAAAAATTAACTATATTATTATATATATCCTTTTCAACCAAAAACTTACTAAGAGTTACTCTTCTATTTCTTTCCTGCCAAATCATATATATAGTGGCAGCTACGGCAGCCTTCAA